GTATCATCCGAGTGAGCTGCTGTGTCTCAGCACATGTAGCTTTTTTCCCATTGCATGGGTCAGTGACTTTTCTTTCCAGACGTTGAAAGAAATTTATGGTTCCATGTAGAAGCTTGATGCATTATGTTTTGACTGACGTTGGCAGCCACAGAGAAGCCAAGAGATGAGAAATCCCTGAATAAGTATTAGTGATATACCGAATCCGGCCGATTTCTGGCATTTTGAGATAATTGACATTGGCCGATAATGATGGCAATCACAAGCCTGATATATATCCTGCTTAATGACAGCAAAACAAACACCATTACTGGCTAGTAAAGTATTATAGTATATTGTTATACTGTAGAGAATAATGCAGTTGACTAACTTCACTTCTGACAAACTGTACCCCACACTCCCTAAAACAGCAGGCATGATCTGAAATCTACAGCATAACCCAATGTATTTTTCTATTTTATTAATTAATAAAAAAACGAAACATTACTGGCTAAGGTAACCATGTATATTAGATTATACTCTGCATGGGATAATGGAATTATACATGGCTTTTCTATGTTTTGATATTGGCATCGACCATTGCTCCCCTGCTCTCTAAATATTAGCACTGGCCACTGAAAAACCCATATCAGTCGACCACCAATATGGATGTCACATATAAATTTAAAAAAACAAACAATCCCCTTCAACCTCTTTGCTCAGAGGGGATGCAGAATCAAATATGTTATCTTTCATAAAAGATGTGGATGAACTAATACCCACAGACTTCCATTCTGTCCAAAGGTAATATTAAAGGACAAACTTATCTCATTTATGTCAGTGGCTCAAAACACAATCAATACATTGATTTAATCTCAGTGATAAGCAGACCTTCGTAAAATAAAAGCTTTCAAATACTACTGATGATTATTAATTTAATTAAAAATAAAAGCCCAGTTATTTTCTGCATGGCAACTCCACGACTGACTAAATGAACCGGTGGTCATTTAATTATTCAAAAACCTTCCAGGAAGACACAACATTCCGCTGTGACCACTATTCCTGTCTGATTTAAACTTACCTATATTAGTTCTGTTATATTACTTATGCGTAAAAGGGCGAGCATTTCCTGAAAGCATTTTATTTAAAATTGTGTATAAACAAGCAAAAAAACAAGAAAGATAATAGGCCGGCAACAAAAGTCACTGGATTACCTTTAAGATGATGATACACGGGGCAACTTTTTGAGCAATGTTGCTGGGCAATCTTGCAGTGGCAAGTCCGACTATGTTTTGAACGGATAGTGGCGGTGCGGGCCAGGTGGCGGAGTGGTGGGATAAGGGGATTACGGTAGTAATCATTACTCATTACCACTGACGGCAACGTTGCCCTGCACAATTGCTCTAAAAGTTGCTCTGTGTATCATCAGCTTTAGAGTACAGCTCTGCATAGGACAGCTCTGTCCATCATTGGTGACACTAAACACCCCCTGAGTTTGAGCTGCTCCCTTCAGGACGACAAAGTATGTCTGGCAAACAAAAAGACCTATATATGTATATATAGGCTAGGCTCTAAAATAATAAAGGTGTATTGTATTGTATTCTCCAAATATATTAAAAAAACATTCTTTTCACTTTTAAAATGCTATTATTTCACTGCAATGTGTGCACAGAAAAAAATAACACAACTAATACCTTTATGTGCCCTTTAAACGCTCGTTTAGCTGCTTTTTCATTAATCTTATGGTTCTAAATGGTTAAATAATTACTCTCCAATTTCACCCATAGACTACAAGATTTCACACACGCAACACAACCGGATGTTACGACTCTTCTTCAGTGCGTTCGTTTTAAATGCCAACGTCGAGCTGCTATTGGTTCTTGGGTCGTCTCTTGTAGATTCTAGAAAACTCCGCTCGTTTGCTTTACGCCGGGAAAAAAACGAGTGCACCGCTTCATGTCCGTTTCCCCAATAACATTTGTAAAGGACATGCACAAGGCCCACACCTGCTCTATCTATCTTTGGCAAAGCTTACCTGGAGAGCTTCGACTGTTTATCAAGACCTGATCTATGTACGTCTGTTAGCAACGATGCTACGTAGGAGTAAAAACTTGAGCTATGTTCTGAGCCTTGTCCCGGGCAAACGTCGTCTTGGGACATACAGGTTCCTTCCCATCTTTTTTTGCATCGGAGGCGTCATGGAGTGGATCATGATCAACGTGAGGATAGGAAAAGAGACTTTTTGTGAGTGTAAAATGGCAAATTGGGTTTTTTTTCAGGCATGGTTTAACTTTAGCTTACGTTAGCATATTGGGGACTTCTGTTAGCATATTAGCACTGTCGCTTTCTTGTGTAAGTTTTCTGTTAAACAGCTGTTATTAAACAAATAATGCAAATAGTGCAAAGTCGGAGCAGTTGCTAATTTTATTTACATTTAGCAAATTCTGACTTGCTAGAGTATATTAAGTACTTCCAGCAAAGCTGCTTTACTTAATTTAAAACGCTGTATCGAAGAGACGTACACATTGTTTCAGTAAGTCGGAGCGTGTTTACCACGTTGTCACAGTGAGCCTACTGTTGGGACTGTGCTTGTATACAGATTTGGGACACAACAACGTCGTTGACCTTCCAAATATGTCCCCAAACTTCCCTATGCTGCAGCCTCTCTCTTCTCCTCAGCTCAACTGCCATTAGGATTATGGAAAAAGAGAGAGGGAAAAACAAATGTTTAGGTACAATGTGCAGGCAGTTAGATGGGTCACACTGCTAAAAGACACTCTGTATTTGCAGCAACACAGGGATATTAAACATCACAGTATATTTAGTCTCATTGACTTATCTGACCTCATTAAATTCATTAATTACTCGATTAAGCGACTGATATTTTTGGTGTAACCATTTACCATACCACAAACTAACATCATTAGTGGGAATTTACATTATAAATCCGGAGGCAGACAGAAAAACAACACACTGTCAATAATGGTAATATGACAACAAAAATCCGAGATGATATTAAGATTCATATCAACGCCAGTGATGTTGTCAAAAGTACTCAATATGTGGATGCCCCCTTTCAACATATTTAATGTTTATATACATGTATGTATATACAGGTGCTGGTCATATAATTAGAATATCATCAAAAAGTTGTTTTATTTCAGTAATTCCATTCAAAAAGTGAAACTTGGATATTATATTCATTCCTTACACACACTGATATTTTAAATGTTTATTTCATTTAATTGTGATGATTAAAACTGACAACTAATGAAAATCCCAAATTCAGTATCTCTGAAAATTAGAATATTACTGAAGACTAATACAAAAAAAGGATTTTTAGAAATGTTGACCAAAAGTATGAACATGAAAAGTATGAGCATGTACAGCACTCAGTACTTAGTTGGGGCTCCTTTTGCCTGAATTACTGCAGCAATGCGGCGTGGCATGGAGTCGATCAGTCTGTGGCACTGCTCAGGTGTTATGAGAGCCCAGGTTGCTCTGATAGTGGCCTTCAGCTCTTCTGCATTGTTGGGTCTGGCGTATCGCATCTTCCTCTTCACAATACCCCATAGATTTTCTATAGGGTTAAGATCAGGCGAGTTTGCTGGCCAATTAAGAACAAGGATACCACGGTCCTTAAACCAGGTACTGGTAGCTTTGGCACTGTGTGCAGGTGCCAAGTCTTGTTGGAAAATGAAATCTGCATCTCCATAAAGTTGGTCAGCAGCAGGAAGCATGAAGTGATCTAAAACTTCCTGGTAGACAGCTGCGTTGACCTTGGACCTCAGAAAACACAGTGCAAAGAGTGGTCTTTGTGAATCTCCCCCACATTTTTGAATGGGTTTTGTTTCACAATCCTCTCCAGGGTGCGGTTATCCCTATTGCTTGTACACTTTTCTACCACATCTTTTCCTTCCCTTCGCCTCTCTGTTAATGTTCTTAGACACAGAGCTCTGTGAACAGCCAGCCTCTTTAGTAATGACCTTTTGTGTCTTGCCCTCCTTGTGCAAGGTGTCAATGGTCGTCTTTTGGACTGCTGTCAAGTCAGCAGTCTTCCCCATGATTGTGTAGCCTACAGAACTAGACTGAGAGACCGTTTAAAGGCCTTTGCAGGTGTTTTGAGTTAATTAGCTGATTAGAGTGTGGCACCAGGTGTCTTCAATATTGAACCTTTTCACAATATTCTAATTTTCTGAGATACTGATTTGGGGGTTTTCATTAGTCGTCAATTTAAAAATTATCAAAATTAAAAGGAATGAACACACAAATATATCAGTCTGTGTGGAATGAATGTATACATTATACAAGTTTCACTTTTTGAATGGAATTACTGAAATAAATCAACTTTTTGATGAGTGTGTGTATGTATGTGTATATATAGATATATATATATATATATATATATATAATGTGTGTGTGTGTGTTTTGAACAATATTGAGAAATGCCCATCACAACTTTCTCAGCTGTAACTGCAGAATGTTTGGTATTTTTGCTTGCTAAACCCCTTAAGTAATTAATCTGTTATCAAAATGCTTGCAGACTCATTTTGTGTAAATTGACTAATCAATTATCTGACTAATTGTTTCAACTCTGATATATAATTGGATTTTGGATATTTTATAAACTGATCACATGCTCTATATGTAAAATGCATGCATGAGTTTTAAAAAGCAACTAGCTGTCACTTAAATGTAGTGGACTATGTATAATATAAAGTACTTTAGGACAGTAACTGAGTAAATGCACTTTCCTCTACTGCATATCACATTGTTGATATTGCATTGATAGTCTGTAGCTACACCTGTAGACAGTTATTCAAAACATGTTAAAAGGAAAAGATTGTGTTTCTACTCTCACTGAACCACTCACTAGTCCATATGTGTTCAAATGTGACATTTAAGGACAACTAAAAGGATGGAGTGTGTTTAAAAACAAATAAACCTGTCCAGCATGTTTTATCCTGTAGTATTCTGAGGCCATTTAGGGATACAGAGAGCATGTTTTACAAAGGACAGACTCCCAATCCTGGTTATAGGCCTTTTTCCAGCTGTCCACCTTTCGTGTGGGAGATTTGGGTTCATTTCCCACTGTGACAAATCCAGAATGGTTTCTGAAGAGTTTCAAAACGTTTATTTAAATGGAAATATAATATAGTCTCCGTAGTCCAACATATGTCGCTTTTTTTATTCACTGCAGCTTTAAAAACATCCTGTATTACAGGTGTCTCATTTCAGTCTCTTAATTCTGTTTTTATCCTTTCAGATGATGTCTACCGAAGAAAACAATCAGAACGGGGGTACCAGAAGAAGATGGCAGATGGTTTGATAGTTCTTAATGAGCCTGCAGCCAAGTGAACAGCAGTTGGATTTAATGTGGACTTCACATGTTGTCTTAAGGACGCATTCTTGGACTCTCACACCCTTACTTCTTTGCAACAGGCTGGAATGGACTTCATAGCATATTACTGGGTTACAGCAAATTGTATCACAGTTATGAACATTGTTAAGGAGCCAAGAGTGAAAAGGCTGAAGAAATCACTTCCAACATGCAGGTTTTATTGATAATATGATCTTCAGTTAAAGTAACATTAGCAGTAATAATACCATTGGCGTTATGTGATGAAATAATCCCAATTGTGGTCTCAAATTGATTTGACAACAAGTTGATGTGTTATGTCTAAAACATTGCATAACACCTGCCAAGACAAACCAGTCTCAGCCAAATTGTAACAGAAGAAAAATACTAAAAGAGTCTCTGTATTTAGAGACAGACAGATGTGTTTAATGCTGGCAGACAGCATTTGATAAGAAACAAAAAAAACCTCTTTCTTCCTCTTGTTTAAATCCTGCTGTTCTGTAATTATATGATTTCTGTCTGATTAAAAAAAACTTGGACTATACAGTAGACTTGGGTATATAAAATGTAACTGTATTTTGCAAACAGTATTTTAATTATCTGTGTATCTGCATCTCTCATTTTACACAGAACTTCCCGCTGAAACATAACCTCCGTTTTCAGTTGTACCATCCAATAGGGAGAGACTGCAGACAGATGAAGCTGTCAGGGTGCTTTGACAGCATGATGGGGTTCCCATCCAGTCTCACCTCGTTCATGTTGGTCCGTATGTAGTGACTGGTGTTACCTTTGCAGAACGTCTCATCTGTAATCGTCAAGATCTTGTTGTTCTGCAGAACAGACAGAATCCAAGGACACAAAATTGGCTTGTAGCTACTAATGGTCCCGCAGACAGAAGAAAATCTAATTGCTTCTATAAAGTGTCTCTGATTAATTGCTGTGATTGCAGTGAATCGCAGATGAACTTACATGCAGGTGCACAACATGAAGGGACTCTGGAAGTTGGGGCACTGCAGTCAGTTCATTGTTTCCAAGGTAAAGATATGCCAGTCTTGTGAGTTTCTGCAAAAACAAAACACCACTATTTTGGATTAAGCCTTTTGCTGTATCAAACTAAACACATGCAAAATACATAATTTCTGCATCACACTTCTGACATTTCTGACACTCTCGCTAACTTACTTTAAAAGCAGTTGCCTTTACACCCTGGGTTGTAAGCCTGTTGAAATTGGCGTTGAATGACACTAGCTTGGTGGGCAGCGTGGGAAGTTTAGTCAGTTTGTTTTCTGCAAGAGTGAGCTCCTCAAGGTTGGAAAGTTTTGAAAAAGCACCGTCGTCTATCTGAGCAATGAGATTCCCAGTTAGGTCAATTCTTTTCAGTGTGGCTGTGGATGCAAGCAAACAAACAAAGGGACAGAGAGAGTGAAGTTGAAAGATGACATTCAGTGAAGAGGAGAATTAGTTTACTTATTATAATGACTTTTATTCACCCATGTCTGCAAAGTCTTGGTTGCTTATTTTTGTGATTTTGTTGAAACGTGCGTAAAGATATGCGGTTTCCTTCGGCAGTGCTGGGACGGTTGACATTTCAGGGGACACCTCCTCACAGTAAACAGATCCACTCAGGCAAACACACAGCAGACATGTCGGCAGCTCTGAAAAGATCACATTGTTGTTTCATCACCTTGTTTTTCCAGGAAAAAAAGGATTCTTTCTAATTAGTCATATTAATAAGTGGACTAATTGGTTTCAGTGATGTGACTATGCAGCTTAAAAAGCAGTACACGGTTTAGATGAGGACACTTGATCAGCCCCATTATTACATAATATGGGCTTTAGCTACATTCACAAAAATGTGGAAGAATGCCTCAGCAAGTGTTGCATAATCGGCTTTGAAACAGTTGTTGAAAAGTATTTCTGTTTAAACAAACCTTACCATCGACTTTTGGAGGTGCTGCTTGGTCAGCATTTGAGTTATGAAGGATGTCATTGCCTGTAGAGTCTAGAATGCCTCTCTGTAAACAGAAGAAATTTTCAAAATAACTATACTTTTCATCCCAACTCATGACTGATACATTTCTTCCTCCCGTTCATTAGTATAGTGTATAAACCCCCAAAAGATATTTCTTACTTCCATGTATTCATCTTTTGCTGCAGAAGACAGTAGCCACGGGAGTATAACAGATGTGAAAATTAAAGTCCTTAATTGCATCATTGTGTCTTAGTTGCTGGTGAGAGAAGACAGCACGTCTGCTAGGCTGGGATCTGAGGTAAATGTGAGCAGGAAAATTTTCCATCCAGTTTCTATTAAGTTGCCAGTATACCGCTGAGTAAGAAAAGGAAACCAACTTTAACTCAATACGTGCTGTGTTTGCTCGCAGTGGTTGTGATGATTCTAAAGACTTTTTATAGTGTTGTGTTTTTATACTGTGTTGAAGTGATGATAAAAATAATGCTTTTAGGCAAATAAGTAAACCTGATTTTAAATTTTAGTTTTAAGTGGAAAAAGAATGTTGTTGCTGGAAGAACAGATCAGACCTGGGTTCCAGTAATTGATGGGAACAATGGGTGGGATTTATAAATGAATTGCCAAAGCACCAGACTGGAACGAGAAAACTATTTTGAATATGTCCCTTTTTTCAATTTAATACTAAAGTTGAAAACCCAACTTAACAGCAGTTACAGTGTCTCTTTAGAAGTGGGCTTTTTTTTTTTTAAAGGGGTTGGTATATATTTATTTTGTTTGTTTCTTAATCAGTTTGATGAGTAATCAGAAACTTGGTGTTCCATTAGATGATGCAGCTCTGTGTTTTTTAAAATCTTAATCTATTACATGTCTAACTAACTTTTGTGTCTATTTTTATTTAAAATTGAACGTCTTTGAGTTTTGGACTGGTGTTCAAACAGAATGAGCAACTTGAAGATGTCTCATTGGGCTCTGGGAATTTTTACCAATTTTGTAACATTTTTAAATCTAAACGATTCATCCAAAAATTAATTTTTAGGGATTTAATTAAAATTAAAATAATCTTTATTTGCTTCCCTTTGGTCATGTGCACTCAGGCAACAATCAAACATGGAGCCTACATGTTTTACTTTGAATTGCTAAGAGGCAGATTTACAGGGACACCTATCCTCAACACTTAAGCCCCTGCACTGACAAACAGCTAAAATGTTAAAATGTCCTTGAGCAAAAATTCTGAAACTCTGCTATCTCCAGAGGCCTGTGCTTCCACTGACCTTGACCTTGCTTTGCAGGATATACAGTGGGTACGGAAAGTATTCAGACCCCTTTAAATTTTTCACTCTTTGTTTCATTGCAGCCATTTCAATCAAAAAAGTTCATTTTATTTCTCAGTAATGTACACTCAGCACCCCATCTTGACAAAAAAAAAACAGAAATGTAGAAATTTTTGCAAATTTATTAAAAAAGAAAAACTGAAATATCACATGGTCATAAGTATTCAGACCCTTTGCCGTGACACTCATATTTAACTCAGGTGCTGTCTGTTTCTTCTGATCATCCTTGAGATGGTTCTACACCTTCATTTGAGTCCAGCTGTGTTTGATTATACTGATTGGACTTGATTAGGAAAGCCACACACCTGTCTATATAAGACCTTACAGCTCACAGTGCATGTCAGAGCAAATGAGAATCATGAGGTCAAAGGAACTGCCTGAAGAGCTCAGAGACAGAATTGTGGCAAGGCACAGATCTGGCCAAGGTTACAAAAAAATTTCTGCTGCACTTAAGGTTCCTAAGACCACAGTGGCCTCCATAATCCTCAAATGGAAGACGTTTGGGACGACCAGAACCCTTCCTAGAGCTGGCCGTCCGGCCAAACTGAGCTATCAGGGGAGAAGAGCCTTGGTGAGAGAGGTAAAGAAGAACCCAAAGGTCACTGCGGCTGAGCTCCAGAGATGCAGTCGGGAGATGGGAGAAAGTTGTAGTAAGTCAACCATCACTGCAGCAATCCACCAGTCGGGGCTTTATGGCAGAGTGGCCCGACGGAAGCCTCTCCTCAGTGCAAGACACATGAAAGCCTGCATGGAGTTTGCTAAAAAACACCTGAAGGACTCCAAGAGGGTGATAAATAAGATCCTCTGGTCTGATGAGACCAAGATAGAACTTTTTGGCCTTAATTCTAAGCGGTGTGGAGAAAACCAGGCACTGCTCATCACCTGTCCAATACAGTCTCAACAGTGAAGCATGGTGGTGGCAGCATCATGCTGTGGGGGTGTTTTTCAGCTGCAGGGACAGGACGACTGGTTGCAATCGAGGGAAAGATGAATGTGGCCAAGGACAGGGATATCCTGGACGAAAACCTTTTCCAGAGTGCTCTGGACCTCAGACTGGGCCGAAGGTTTACCTTCCAACAAGACAATGACCCTAAGCACACCGCTAAAATAACGAAGGAGTGGCTTCACAACAACTCCGTGGCTGTTCTTGAATGGCCCAGCCAGAGCCCTGACTTAAACCCAATTGAGCATCTCTGGAGAGACCTGAAAATGGCTGTCCACCAACGTTTACCATCCAACCTGACAGAACTGGAGAGGATCTGCAAGGAGGAATGGCAGAGGATACCCAAATCCAGATGTGAAAAACTTGTTGCATCTTTCCCAAAACGACTCATGGCTGTATTAGATCAAAAGGGTGCTTCTACTAAATACTGAGCAAAGGGTCTGAATAGTTATGACCATGTGATATTTCAGTTTCTTTTTTAATAAATTTGCAAAAATTTCTACATTTCTGTTTTTTTTTCTGTCAAGATGGGGTGCTGAGTGTACATTACTGAGAAATAAAATGAACTTTTTTGATTTTTGGAAAATGGCTGCAATGAAACAAAGAGTGAAAAATTTAAAGGGGTCTGAATACTTTCCGTACCCACTGTATAAGGAGCTTTCCTACACATATAAAGTGCCACATTTGTTGAATAAATTTATTAGAATTTTATTTATTTTTTTTACAATAAATGAATAAATTTTCAATTATGACCAATATGAGTCTCCCAATATCCTGCCCACATTGTGTGTATAGTTGTATAACTGTTTAAATGGTGCAGAGTAGACAGTTTGAATATTAAGCAGAAATGCTAGATGTGGGTTGTCCAATACTGGTGTGCCTAGTTTTCTAAAAACGTATAGATACTATTAATGTTGTCTCAGTAACTAAAACAGGAAACCACAGACAGACAACAATCAGCACATACGTTCATATGAATTCCTTGCTTTAATGAATAAAAATAAAATCATTCTGTAACCGTGTCAATCCTGACAAACGCATTTTTTGGTATGGTCCTTTCAAACCCGTGCGATAAAATGTAAGCGCACAAACTCAGGGCGTTTTTTTGTAAAATACTGTATTTTAAGTTTGGCCATATAAATTATCTCATTTTGTCATTTTTTTGGTTGCATTACGTAAGGCAGATGTGGTGGAAAAAAAAAAGAGGAAACAGAAGTACCAGTGTAGCGGAAGTGGTACTGCCCTGAACGATACGCTGAGCGAGACGGAGGACGGAGGCTGAATCGTCCAGAGAGAGAAAAAAAAAGCAGGATTAAAAGCCGCCAATATTGTAAGTGTAATAACCTCTCTCGTGTTACTATCGCATTATAGTAGTAAATATTCATTCGCAGGTTAACGTTTGAATGGCTGATTCATCGTGTCCGGTTGAATCCTGTTGAGAAGCCATCACGCTAACAGTAGCAGGCTAGCTGGGTTTGTGAAAGGCTAGTCGGTTAGCATTACCTGCTAGCCAGCGAGCTAACCGACGGTCGGATTCCATGACACTTTGTTCTGACAGGCTCCTCAGCCTGGGCGGGCCGTGGTACAGCTGCTGAAAACGAATTAAAGGCGGAGGTAATACCTTGTAGTATAAGATTGTGTAGTGTACTGATTCTAAAAATGGCTAATGTTAATTGCCAACACCGTAGCCGTGCGTTTTTTTTATCGTTAAACGAAAGGCAGGTGTTCCTTTTGCTGGCCTAGCTAACGTTCGTTAGATAGCGGAACGATATATTAGACGACGGTAGCTAAAGATTCACTTTGCATTATGATGAATAGGAGAGATTAGCAGCAGTGCTTTTATCTAATCCAGTTAGGTCGCCAACGTTAATAAGAACAAAACAAATGATCAATCAGATCGGACGCATTTAACACGCTGACGTTAATATCAGTTAGCGAATTGTATCATCTCGCTAGCGTTGCTAGCAACATAAGGGGAGGGCATTAAAACCTGACCCGGGAAGGCTTCGGCTGAAACAACGTTAAACGAGTCAGTAAACCCGCTGTGCATGTAACATTTTGCTTTATGGCAGTTGTTAAGACTCTTCACGACGTGGATGCAGTCCCATTCAGACAAAATGTGGTAAAGGACGAGGCAGGAATGGGGAACGCTATTAACTAGCTAGCCGCTAACCTTAGCTAGTGATGTGTATGGTTGACCCACTTGCCAAGGGGCCCAGTTCACAGTGCTTATCCTCACTTTCCATCCAATTCAGGGGTTTCCTTGCTGCTCTGCCAAATCAGTTCAGAAAGAATAATGTTAGCTCAGAGCACTCAATAATGTCTAATAATTGATAGTGTGAGGACTATTGTGAAACATTATTCCTTGTTTTTTGATTAACTACACATACATACCTACTTCTAATACTGTATTTTCTTTTTCTCAGTCTAGAAAATGGATAAGAACGACCTGGTACAGAAGGCCAAGCTTGCTGAGCAGGCTGAGCGCTATGATGACATGGCCGCGGCCATGAAGTCGGTGACTGAGCAAGGTGCAGAGCTGTCAAATGAGGAGCGCAACCTTCTCTCTGTTGCCTACAAGAATGTGGTAGGAGCACGCCGCTCATCCTGGCGTGTTATCTCCAGCATCGAGCAGAAGACTGAGAGCAATGAGAAAAAACAGCAGATGGCACGTGAATACCGGGAGAAGATTGAAACTGAGCTGCAGGAAATCTGCCATGATGTGCTCGTAAGGGTTTCTAATTTTGTTGGTTTTTCAAAACAGTCCTAATTAATACACTTGTGAAGACAGTGCTTGTGTGTAATTTTCTGATTATCACAAACTGAAAAACTCAGCTTTTGTTTTCAGGGGCTACTGGATAACTTTCTCATTACCAACGCATCTGCTGCTGAAAGCAAGGTGTTCTATCTGAAAATGAAAGGCGATTATTATAGATACCTGTCTGAGGTTGCATCTGGGGAAGCTAAGAAGGGTAAGTGAGGAAATGATTTACATTATAATTTTGTGCTGGTACAAAATGGGGTTTTAAGCTGTATTAATTCATATTTTATAATAATTGTTCAAATTACTATGTGCAATGTGAAAATGGTTGCTTGTAGATGAGCCCAGAGAGTTTTATCACCCACCTCAGCTCTGCGAAGGGTCTTTCAGCACAGTTGTTAATTTTGTTCACTCTCATCAACTTTGTTTCCAGCAACAGCAGGCAGCGTTTTTTTATTTTAGAAATAAAATAAACCCAAAACAAAGCATCCCCCTCTGATATACAGACGGCAGACTACCTAGCCCAACATTAAATAGCAGAAAAGTTGAACACACCAGAGCATTTAGTACCTTAACAACCAGATATTTCCCCTGGGACTAAAACATAGCTAAAAGGAGAGTGAATATTGCACTACATTTGCCAGGCAGAAACAAATTTGACTCTCTAAATTAATGCTAGTGTTGTTCCGTGTTTGTTCAATAATGGGCAACTGTTACCACCTTTGCTATTTCAATTATAAGGAGACATTACAGCAAGTCATTGTGTGCTTGTTGTTCTGCTGCCCCCAAGTGGCCAAAAATGAATAAACACTGCTTTAAAATATATTATAAATAGTGATTGTAACTTCTTTTTTTTTTGTTCATTTTGTTGCCTAAAGATACAGTGGAGAACTCCCAGCAGGCGTACCAGCAAGCTTTTGACATTAGCAAGGGGGAGATGCAGCCAACACACCCGATCCGGCTTGGCCTGGCCCTCAACTTCTCTGTCTTCTACTATGAAATCCTCAACAATCCGGACAAGGCCTGCAGCCTGGCTAAGACGGTATGAACTTGTTCATTGCATTTGTTTTTGTTGAAAGATTTGAATACATTATAACATCACTACTAAACAGAAACCTTGGATTCACTGAATTACTGGCAGACATTGTAAGGGTATTTTGTGCATTAATTTATTTTTCAGTGCTGACTAATTTAAATGCTCAGTTTTGCTTAAACACTGCCAAACAGTGTTTAAAGGCTGCTGCTAGATTATTAAAGTTTAAATAACAAGTTTTAATTTTTGTATTTCAGGCATTTGACGAAGCCATCGCTGAACTTGACACTTTGAACGAGGATTCTTACAAAGACAGCACCCTGATCATGCAACTATTAAGGGACAACCTGACTGTGAGTTTTAAATTATGTTAAATGCCTCTGCTTCATCCTGATGTGATCCGGTGAACCTGATCATAACGTTTGTCTTTCTCTGTTCCCAGCTGTGGACATCAGAAAACCAGGCAGATGAGGGAGAGGCCGGAGACGGGGAAAACTAATGAAATTGCACTGTTAATCCACCTACACTCTTATCTTAAACACAGACAGCTTATATACATCCCCCTCCACTCCATCAGCTCCTCCCTCTTCTGTATGACAAGCAGCCTGAATTGCTCCTGACCAACTAGTTTACCCCTCTCAGTTCACTGTGAGGTGACAGGGTAATTTTCAGTTAGCAGATTCAGTCACTTTGTGGAAACATGTCGTATTGATTAGTGAGTCCATGTTGCTGTTGTTTTTGTCGGCTTTTGTGTGTATGTCCTTATGGAGTGAGTGAGCGAGCGAGTGTGAAAGGATGCGAAAGATTGTGTGTATGGTCTGGGGGTGTGGGAGGGGGGTGTTGTGAATTCTAATCGTCCTTCCAAATCCCTTTGTCCCAGCTAGTTTGTTGTGCATTTTTCATCCCTTTTTTCATTTGTTACTTTCTTATTTGTGATTCCTCATGATATTTACAGGTTTTATTGTATGGTAATTGAACTGGCAGTTGATTTCCACCAAACACTGTGATGGTAGGCGTTCCATTTGCTTCACACACCCAAAACAGTTTTGTGTTTTGAATTTCCAGACACACGTACAATCCTGTATTCGACTAACTGCAATTCTGCTGTGGGCTCATACAGAAAGGAGGCAGGCTGTATTGTGACACTGGCATCTTGGTGTAACGCTCCTTGATCATGTTCACAAGTTCAGTTTCAAAGTTTTAAGGGACCCCTTAAATTGTCATGTTAGATTTGTTCAGACATTCCACATTATTAGGCTTTCGTCAAGGCAGTGCTCCTTTTTTTTCCCTTTTTTTTTTTTTTTGGACTAAATATGGATTGTCATTGTAGTTTTACTCACTGTTCAGGTGCTGCTTGATCTCAGTACAATGGAAATTGTATGTGCGTAAATGTGGTTCCATGTATTTTGCAAGATTGACTATCATCTGTATGTAAAACTTAAAGTAACCTTTTATTGATGTTAATTGAAAGAAATGTCTTACCACACTGTATCAACCCTGCTTGCAAAATATTCCTGTTAAAGCGGTTGTTTTCTCCAACAAAAAAAATCTGTGCCTGGCTTTCTCTTGCAGCCTCTATTTTCAGTATGAATTGACAGTATCTGCCTGTTTATCTTTTTTTTTTTTTTTTTTTTTTTTTTTTTTTAAAGAAATTTCAAAGAACGAGTTAGACCAGACAAACTTAAATTTCTAAATCTTGACCTCAGTTTGTACCCAGGTGCATCGCTCTGCTGTTTAAGATTGCTGGTGTGAATGATTGGAGAAGAAAGAAGCTCAGTGTCACAATACCATGTATCACCACTACATTCCACATATTGTAGTTGAAGACACCATTCCACATTATAGCTGACAGTCTGTTTACTCTGACAATGCTCCAATGAATTGAAATAATCTTCTGTTTAAAAAAAATCATGTCAGTTTATTATTATGCTTGATGAAAATGCAGTTAGTGAATGTGGAACGAAGCCTGTCTGTATATCAGGTATCTACTTGCTTTGTTTTTACTGACAAGTCTTATGGCTAAAATTTGCTTCTGTAACAGTCTATTACCCAGTGCACACACGTGGTTGTGAAAATTTAGAATAGCTCTAAAAAGCAATGATGAAATGGAGATAAACAATGGTTGGTGTAATTCTAGCTTTGTGTTTATGTATCTTAAAACCATTCTAGTTTCACTATACATGTAAGAAATAGGAAAGTGTCAAAGACCATTCAGTGAAATAAAGTTTCGTTTAAGATAACAGGCAAATTACGTCTTCATTTCTGTTCACAAGGAATATTTTCTCAATAAGGTGTAGTAGTAGACATTTTAATTAAAGCTAGCATAAAATCACTGAGATTTGGTCACGAAAAGGGCCACCAGAGGGCGAAATAAATTGAATTTTAGTCCCCGATATCCCGATATGCGAGGACTACTTTTCATCGCGGAGTGTCACGTTCCTTCCTATCCCCTCACGGCTTAATTGAAATAACGATGTGCGGAGGGATAGATGCAGGTGTTCCACGGTCATAATTAAACGAAAACAAGCTCCGCCCATGTGGAAAGTGTAAACGGCGCTCATGAGTTAAATGTACACCTGAAATCCGACGCATTGGCTATTTAAAGCTGTAACGTAAGTAACTTTAATTTTAAGATTTCCCTCGGGTTATTAATCGAGATTTAGACGCTTCAACCGCATAAAATAAGTTTAATGTGAAGTGCCCAAAGAAAGGGAGTAAATTTAGCTAACTTCAGCTAGCTCTCCTTAGTGTTTTTGGTAACAATTAATATTTTTTGAACTGATTTTTGAACTCGCTTGTTGCCTTTAGTCCTGTATGTTATTAAAGCTATGCCATAACTAACTAGGTGATAACTTTACTAAATGTTCATTTATGTAGCACCTTTACACCTGTTTACCCCGGCATTTAACGTTAGCCACATTCTTTCTCTCTTGAGATCAGGCTTGATATCCATTTAATATCCTCACACACACACGCAAAACACTCAGTGGCTAGTTTATTGGGTACACCTAGCATGCAGTCTAATGCAACAGTCCTGCGGTAGTTATTTTATCATAAAAGTTACTCAGTTTTAATTTAGTTTATCAGTTTTTGTTGAAACTGCTTGAACATGATTGTTTTGGAGGATGTAGTTTGTTTATGGTGCTGTTGAACTCTATTGAATAATCCAGATATGTTTTTGTTGTTTAGTCTACCCTTATTGATATAAATAGGGTGGACTTAATATACAATACAAATATTGAGTGTATAAATTGTTAGTCCACATTGTATGTGTCCTGTCTCTGTCTGAGTTGTGATTTATAAAAAAAAAAAATTACCAACCATATGCACAATCATAGTTTTTCTTTTAAAGTAAATATTTTTATTTTTTAATTAAACTTCATCCAAGCAGGAACAACTATTTTTTTCCCCCCTCTCCTACTCTTTGCATTTGGATGAATGCACACGGACGGTAATGTAGTGATACTCTAGTGTAGGAGCTAATTGAATTGATTTAATGAATTTAGGTGCTATGCTAACATGTCCTATGCAAAGACAGGGTTCCCACGGTCATGGAAATCCTGGAAAAGCTTCCAGGCATAGAGAAATATTGAAAGTTTTGGAAAATGCATGAAATTTGATGTTGTCATATAGGGTTATAGGAGAAATTATATGTATATTTTATGGATTTACACGTATCACAAAATTCAATCTTTTTAAGTCAATATGAAAATAACTGACTTTACCCAACCTGTAGAGTAAAGTATGCAATTTTATGTACTTGTTGGTAGTGAAAGGTCATGGAAATTTCATTATGGGTCATTGAAAGGTCATGGAAAAGTTTTGAAATCTTGTCAGTAATATTGGGTGGGAACGCTGCAAAGATGATGAGCAAATTTTACATATTTAGCCAAGCCTCTGCATTTTTAATTTTAAAAGTTAAATGCGTGCAAGAAGATGGATATGATCATAAATGACCTACCTGCAATAAATCCTACCTTCTTGAAGTTTATGATTTTACATGTTTTTGTTGAAGCTGTATTATGTATGTATGTATGGATTTAACTTAACAAGCCGCAGCTTGTGGTGCTATTAAATTTGGGTTGCATGACATTGAGAGGCGTTTCTAATATTTTGTCTACCCTTGTTGTCTCTCAGGTGCAGGTCAGGTGATTGATGTAAATGAATAGTACTTATTCTTATGTAACTAGCCTATGTGATGTCTATCTTGCACTGCCATTTTGTCCAGGTCTGTCTTGTAAAAGAGATGATGCATATGAAGAGACTCATTGGTTAAATAAAAGAATATGAAGGGAGTGGAAACAATATTAGACCTTAACCTTTGAGTACAACTGACCTGTTCAGGGTGTACCCCACCTTTCACCCAATATGTGCATGTCTGGATAAGCACTACCTCCTGTGAGCCTGCACAGGTTAAGCAGATGTAGGAAATGGACAGATGGATATATTGAAGGGTGTTTCAAACATTGTGGATTCAGAAATGACCATAGAGCTGAATCAACACTTTGGTCAACTAAAATGGAATATGTTAACCATCATAAAGGTGAAATTGTTTCAAAGCTGTTATATAGGTTTGCGTAATAATACTCACAGGGTAATGTTTTTATGTACGTAAAATGTTTTGTTTCCTTTTAAAAACTTAAACTGAAACACTATGCTGATATCATCTGTCTTGAACTAGCTGTTACCAAAGATGAACAGCAGTGGACAAGCATATCCCCTCGCTTCTCTGTATGTGGGGGACCTGCATCCTGATGTTACAGAGGCCATGCTCTACCAGAAATTTTCTCCTGCTGGACCCATCATGTCAATCCGTGTGTGCCGCGACATCATCACACGCAGATCTCTGGGATATGCCTACATTAACTTCCAGCAACCAGCTGATGGTAAAGTACCCGTTTTGGTGGAATTCCAACTTTAAAAATGCAATTTTTATTACTTGTTAAGTCCATTGAAACATTTGAAAATCAGTGCATTGAAATGTTTCATGCTATCTGTGAATAAGATTCTGCTCACTCGATCAGATTTGCTTGGGAGGAGCCAAACAATGTGGAGTAATGCACTAGATTAGCTACTGTTCAGAAGGACATCCTATATTGTATTGTGTTGCTGATGTTCATTACGCTGACAGCTTGATGAATACACCTGATATCCTCACGTATTTCTGAAAAGATCTTGTTTGTTGCAGGTCATAAGTGAAGCACTTGTGCTACTTGCATAAAATAAACTGAAATAAATTCTGTTTCTCAACTAATGTAATTTGTCTCGATTTTCGAAGTTCTCACTCACACACATAACATTCTTTGATTATGACTAATAGGAGTTCTTATTGTGTGTTAAGCGGAGTGCGCCCTGGATACAATGAACTACGACGTTATCAAGGGGCGGCCTATCCGAATAATGTGGTCTCAGCGTGACCCGGGACTCAGGAAGTCTGGTGTGGGAAACATCTTCATCAAGAACATGGATGAATCTATTGACAACAAGGCACTGTATGACACCTTCTCAGCCTTTGGCAATATCTTGTCCTGCAAGGTAAGTGGCCTGGGTCATACTGACTGCGTGGTTGTTGTAGCTCTCTGGTCTTAGACAGAAGTTTCTTGTGCAGCGTGTAATAAGCTGATGTTGCACTCAGTATTAAACATATGTTTGATAATACTTTTACCTTCTACATGCAATGGAGTAGGGCTGTGCAGTATAGTTTTAATCAGTGTTACAACAATAACATGCATATTTATCAGTACTTCCTGATGTGGGAAATGTATGCAAAACTGCTGATCAGTACAGTAAACTCCTTTTTTACACATGTAAAACAAAAATATAGATCAGTGGATACGTTGTCGCCACATTATCACCCAGTCCAATACAAAAGTACATATTTGAAACTCAAATACAAAGCTTTGTAATTTGCTTGATTTAAAGTATTTTTGTCTTTGTAGGTTGTTTGTGATGAGAGAGGATCCAAAGGCTATGGCTTTGTTCACTTTGAGACTCATGAGGCTGCAAACCGGGCCATTGACACCATGAACGGGATGCTGCTGAATGATAGGAAAGTGTGAGTAAACTAAATACTTTGAAAAACTAAACTGGCAAAAATGCAATCCAAAACAAAGCAAGTTGAGGCATAGAGCAGCGCAGAATGTATATGTATGTAGGGTGACCAGATGAGAATGGGAGAGGGATGGAGGGAATGTGGCCACTGGTACATTTAGTGTCAATGAACATATAATAATAAATAATATAATAATAATAATATAATAATAATAACCATAACAACACACGTGAAAGTCAAAACACAACCCTAAAATTTATTATTTTTGTTCATGAAGTCACTTGTCTGTCATTAGGAAAAACACAACTGTGGACATGTAACAGTGGGTAAAATATGATCTTTTACCTATTTTTATTTTATTCATTCATCAGTGCAGTGTCTGCACAACGTGCGTGTCGGATCTCTCCGCCGTAGCTGCCTGAAGCTACACTTTCCCTGTCCTCGTGACTGTAACTTCCACTAACCACAAGAAAACAAAAAGGGGAAAAGAGCATGAGTGCTATAACAATGCTGTTCATACAATGTACAGATAACCTGCAACCCCTGCTGGAGCAAGAGAACTACACAGCGATCAGTATTTATTGATTAATTAGGCTATAATCCAAACTCATGTTAAGTCTAATTTTCGGGACAAACCGGACAGGAGTCAGGACAACTGCTCGTAATTCGGAATTTTTCGGGACGTCTGGTCACCCTATATGTATGTGAACAGTATAAAATGTTAATGAATGCTGAAGATTGTGTTGAAGAAGTCAGACTTTTTGCAGATTACTTTTCCATGTGTTTTTTTGCTCAGTGGAGGGACAGGTAATCAGTTGGAACCTGGCTTTGTCAACCCAAAGGCCCATTTCCTGGGGGGAAAATGTCAGTTGTCCCTTATTAGGTCAGTGAGTACGTAGGATGTATGTGTAGGTTTGTCATTTTTGTGTGTGTTGGCAAAGCAAGATGATCAGAAAGATATAATGTCCATACAGTGTAGTTTTCTTCCCCTACCTTATTCCATTCATGATGTAGAAAGGCAGGAACATACACATTTGTTCTTAAATTTTGATTTCTGGTGGAAACGATATTAGTGTTTTTGTGACTTTGTCATAAAGTTGTGTGTGTTGACGTTGTCTGTCCTTCATCAGTTGTCTTGTGGTGGTCTTGACGCTGTGTGCTGAAGCTTAAGACACATTTCACACCGGACAATCAAGTTTTTAAACTAACTTAGTTACTTTTATCCCTTCATTATTGTTCATTGGTGATGGGTTCAATTTTTGTCTGCAGTTTTGTTGGCCACTTTAAATCCCGCAAGGAAAGAGAGGTGGAGTTTGGCACCAAAGCTATGAAGTTTACCAATGTCTACATCAAAAACTTTGGTGAAGACTACACTGATGAGAAACTCAAGGAAGTCTTTTCTGTATTTGGTAAGAAAGTAGAATTTTATAATTTGTGCTGCTCCTCTCCTTGATAATTAGATTTCATATCAGACACTTACAGACTGGTTTGTGTTCACACTCTCAGGGAGGACTCTCAGTGTGCGAGTGATGAAGGACGAGAGGGGTCGTTCACGAGGATTTGGCTTTGTAAACTATGCTAACCACGAGGATGCTCAGAAGGTAGTGTGTGTGTGTGTGTGTGTGTGTGTGTGTGTGTGTCAAGTGTCCACTACCAATACCTACCAACAGTAGCAGTTATTTGGTATTGAAATTAAGCCAGGACCCGGGACAATAAAGAGAATCTTGATTTGTTGTTTCAACATTTAAAGTTGCATTAAGTGATGTTTGACTTCCATGGGTCAAAAAGACTCTCAAACTAGCTGGCCAGATACACTATGGGCTTCTATTGAGGCATAGAAAAGAATTGGTATCCCATTGGAGTTGTGTTTCTGGCCACCTGATGAGTGCAAGACAAATATTTGCTCGCCTTGTAGCTCTGGTTTGATCACCAGGAAGTTTGAACAATTAATCGAAATTTTATCAAACAATTTTCAAATCACAAGAGGTCCAATGTTTGGTAACGGTTATTGGTGTGTCAAAATACCATTTTAAATTAAATATGGTCATGCTGCAGAGATGTCCTGGTCTACACATCATTTTCAGCAAAATGAGAATAATTAAATAAAAATGGTAATTCCCCCTAGTATTGCAAATCATATCGAAATTGCAATATCAGTCAAAATAATCATCGTAGTTAGATTTTTAATTTTTTTGGTTGTTCAAAATCGTTTAGCCCTGCTCTCCGGGTTACTTTTCCTACTCTCACATGTGATACTGCCTGTCCTGATTTCAGCTATAAAAATAAAAAATAATCCTAAAGGGAACAGGATGGCGACAGTATCAGAAGACCACACACTAGGAATCTGTTTAGACAACACACAGTATAATTTTAATTTTTATCTCTGACTGTCAACAGCTGCTGCGTGTGTGTGTGTGTGTGTGTGTGTGTGTGTGTGTGTGTGTGTGGTTGTGCTGGGCAGGTAGGATACCATAAGGTTGGTATGGGTGTTGATGAGTGGGAAAGAGACAGTCCATGTGTGTGCCAGAAATCCAAAACCATGAGCTAAAGAGCTGTGTAGAGTTGAGTTAGTGCATTTTAAGTGGGCTTGTTACAAAATGGAACCAGGATTGATTTAATTCATTGTTGATCTGGGGGGATCACTTAATACAGTTTTAACGTCCGATCTATTTTATATTGTTGGAGTATCATGACTTTTCCATGACCACCTCCTGTACAGGCAACATGTTGATGCTCCGCTTGTTTTCCCAGGCAGTTGATGAAATGAATGGAAAGGATATCAATGGGAAAATCATCTATGTAGGCCGGGCTCAGAAGCGTCTGGAGCGCCAGGGAGAGCTCAAGCGCAAGTTTGACCAGATCAAACAGGACCGCATCCAACGCTATCAGGTGCTTGTGAAGACTTATAATGGCGCTCATTGTTAACGGTCTTCTTTTAACTGAATGGAAAGAAATTAAAGGTTCAGTATTCACAATGGAGGCCTTACCTGAGTTGTTTATATAGTTTATTTATACAAATAGGTTATCTGAGCTCCCATGCTCTTTTACAGTGACGTCTTTCTCACAGTTTCACTGAAAAATTAAGAAAATAATGGAAACAGAATGTAAAAACACAAAAAGAATGCAGGTTAATTTAAAGCAGAAGGGGCGGGGTTATTATTGAGATGGCTTTAAGTTAAGAGTCACAAGTTTTGATTTTTAGTAAGCCTTGCAGATTTATTAAGACAACAAAAGATAACTTGAGATGGCAATTTTGAAAATATTTTGTAGCCTAATACATACAAGTGGTTAGTATGTCTGTCAAAAATACCTTTATTATATAAAATATTTCCAATATCCCCAATAATGAACCTGAGAGCAGAGTAGTAGACGCAGTCTAAAGGACTGAGAGTGGATGTAGTATCATGTCTATAAACATTCCCCTAAAGAGTAACTACACCAAACAAAAACAATTGTTTAACAGCCTACAGTTTCAGTATTTAGATTTTCCATTCATCATTTTTCACTTTTGAGCGGGTTTCGTCCCGTTGCTGTCTTTGTTGTCCTTTTTAACATGACAACTTAAATTACTCCGGAACTAGTAACACACTTCCCGTGTGAGTAGGGTTGGATATTGTTTTTGTTCTATCAATTCTGATTCTTCTCATCAAATCTGGTTCTTATTTAATCTTGGTTATGATTCCAATATTCTAATCCATAATCAGTAAAGTGACAGGAATGTTTCTTGTTCCCTATAATTATAAAAATAAATATTACTCTCTCATAAGGAGTGACCTCTCAGCTGTTTCTGTTGTGCTATGAATCAGGAAAATATCAAAGAAGGCTGAAGTCCATGGACATTGTTGTGAATGAGCCGATATAAGTAATGCATATTACATAACTAAACGGCGAGTCAACTGTAGCAAAGGGATGTAACACCATCACCACAAATCTTGTCGCCGCTTGGTGGCATTCATCCACTCTCTCCTTGCTAATCTGTTTCTGTAATAGAGGGGCGTCTCTGGGGACTAATATCTAAGAAATTATATATTGGAATAATTTGAAGACATCATTAGTTTTCATTAACTTTTGAGCGTTTGCTGCGGTCCACCATGGTCCCAGAATGTAAACACAAGTACTATCTTATCGCACGCTTTGTTGACATATTGCATAACAAATGGCGTGACATTAAGTCCTTGTAGCAGGTTCTGACAGAAAAGTGCAACTTTAATGGACTGTAAAATACTCACTGCAGTTAAATCGGTGGCGCAACAGAAATATGCAAGAAGTTAGGAACTGATAAGCAGAATTGAAATGCATGTGTCTTAACGAATCCACAGTATTTGGCAATTTGGCACTGGTTCTTGATACCCAACCCTACATGGGGGCCAACAGAGCTTTGGATACATCTCTGAATACAGACACATAATGTTCTTCTTACCCCCTAAGGGTTAGAGTAAGGTAAGGAATAGAATGATATTTTTGGGGAATAACGCTATCTTGCTTTCTTGTCACTGAGTTAAATGTCAACCAGATCAAACGACCAGATCAAAGCACATCAGGTGCTTGTGAAGACTTATAATGGCAGTTTACAAACTGGTACCCATTTTCTCATCTGTGTGTGCGTTAAGGCTGCGGTCAGTTAGCTTAGCTTAGCTTAGCTTAGCACAAAGGCTGGAAACAGGAGCAGACAGCTGGTCAGGCTCTGCCCAAAGGTAAAAATCTAACTACCAACGCTCATTCACTTAAAATAAGTTATATCCTGTTGTCCTGTTATTGCAGTGAGGTTACCAGGCAACCTGCGGAGACATAGTCCGACACACTCGTTTGGTTTTTGTTTTCCAGATTAAACAAGATATAACGTAAGTTAGTGAGTTTTACAGGTACTGTTTATCCCAGTTTTGTCACAGGACAGAGCCCAGTGAGCTGTTTCCAGTCTTTGTGCTAAGCTAACCATCTCCTGGCTGTAGCTTCCTATTTAATAGTCCAATATAAGATTGATATCGATATTGAAATCTACCGCATGTAAAAGCGAAGAAGCGTATCTACAAAATGTAAAACTAAGGTACCACTTGATTTGTACTCTACGTCTCCAAACTCATATTGCTGTGTGCCAGTTTCAGCTGATTGACTAGTGATTCCAGGATTTTCAACATGCAGGACATGCAGTTCCTCAACATCATTGCAATAGATATTTATGCAGAAGGATGACCTGAGCCAATTTATAGACTCATGAGGACTATGCAAAATGTAATGAGAGCTCAAGCACACGTTTGACCAGATCAAAGCGCGCATCAGGTGCTTGTGAAGACTTATAATGGCAGTTTACAAACTCATGAGGACTATGCAAAATGTCATGGGAGGTTTAAAACTTTATATGTGTACATTTCTTAGAAAAGAAATGTTACATAAAGATGGAAAGAGGAAGGTTCCAAGTTGTCTGTCATTGAATTTTTACTCGTGGTAAGTTGTACTAGGTACTAAATTTTTATGTTGAATTCATATATTTGCATTTGATGCTTTTATGTTGATCAGCTTGACAGACAAAGTGGTTGGGAAGCACAAAACATAACATGTCTTAATCTTTCTGATTCCAG